AAAATATGTATAAGATCTTTAAAATTGTTTATAAAAATAATATATTAAGTATGTATATTAATAAAATATATGTATATAATTCATCGGTTCGGTTCGGTTATTTCTTCGGGGTTTTTCGAATAAAACCATAACCAAACCAAATACTATCGGTTTTCAAAAATCTAAAACCAAACCAAACCAAACCCAAATAAAATCGGTTTTATTTTATCGGTTTGGTTTGGTTTTTCGGTTTGGATCGGTTTTTATCCAAACCGTGAACAACCCTACTTATGAAGCTGCGCATTTGTGAAAAAGGGAAAACGGTGATTTTAATCTCTGTATTATTGTATAATTTTAGTTTTAGTCCCTGTGTTATTTGACTAGGTACATTTAACCTTTAATTATTTGAAGTGTGCGGTTTTGATCCTTGAAGTTAACAAAAGTTAACTATTTAACAAAATGATTATTTTTAAATATATAAAATAAATTAATTTGAAGGGTTCGTGAATCTAAATACTTGAGGAATTATGTGTATAGAAAATTTTGAATTTAATAAAAATTAAATGTTAAATTTTTTTTAAGACGGAAAGTTCTTAGGACAACATTGATAGTCTTAACGAGCCTGTCCACCTACTAAATTCTTTCAAATGTAACTATATCTGACGTTGATTAGTAACCATTGAAAAAGAGAGGAAGAACGAGTTGCTAATGAATCAAAAACAGAGCAAATAGAGAAGCAAATGAGACATATTTATATATTTAAAATAATAATTCTAATGGTATATTTTTTAAAAATATAATTTTAATTTTTACATATATATTTCTTCAAGCATTTATAATCACCAACCCTTTATTTTATTTATTTTATATATTTTCAAATAATCATTTTGAAAACTTAATCTCAGCGGATATTTATGTTATTTAAGTTTAGTTATCGCATGTAGACATTTAAACTTGTCTACAAGCATACATTTCGTGAACTTAGTCGAGCTGGTGCAAGTTAAGGACGGAACCTAATAGGGCCAATGGGTTCATATGAACTTTGATCAGTGGAAAATTACACTCTTTATACATAATTAAAAATTTAAAATCATTTTTTGTGTAGACATTATAAACTTGTCCACAAGCATACATTTTGTGAACTTAGTCGAGCTGGTGCAAGTTAAGGACGAAGCCAAATAGGGCCAATGGGTTTATATGAACTTTGATCAGTGGAAAATTACACTCTTTATATATAATTAAAAATTTAAAATCATTTTTTGTGTAATCCCTTCAACTTCTTTATATGTTTATCGGAAAAGGGTCAAAATTGTCCCTAAACTATGTGAAATAGACCACTTATACCCTCCATTACATTTTGGGATCAAAAATCCCCCCGCTGTTATCCTAGGAGACCACAAATACCCTCAAGAGTTAACACCCCAAATTATTAGTGATGTGGCAAACCACATGGAACTAATCCCTCCACCTAAGCATTGCTAACTAAGATTCACTACAAAAGAATTTGGCCTTTAGTGGCGACAAAGTTGCCACAAAATCCCAAAATATTGTCACTAAAGGTTATTAGTGATTTTTAGTGGCGACTAAGGCTCCAATAACCATTCGCTAGTAAAATCTATTTTTTCAACCAAAAAATTATGATAATTAATTTTCGATTGCAACCTAATTTTCTAAAATAAATAACTTTGCAATATCAATATTAAAAATATCCAATATTATTACGAAAATCATCAAAATTACTACTCGATTCAAATCTCCTACTATATAATGCATCATTGTACATTTTATACATTTACATATGACATAAAAATAAACATACAGTGTCTTAAAACTCCTACTTAATCGATATCATTTTGGTTTTTTAAAAACAATGAAGAAAAAAACACAAAATTAGAATTTAATGTTAAAAACTTTTAGTGACGATTTCTGGGCTTTTGTGGCGACTATTGTCGCCGCTAAAAGTCAAATTCTTTTGTAGTGAATCTTAGTTGGCAATGCTTAGGTGGAGGGATTAGTCCCATGTGGCTTGCCACATCACTAATAATTTGGGGTGTTAAATCTTGAGGGTATTTGTGGTGTCCTAGGATAATGGCGGGGTATTTTTGATCCCAAAATGTAATGGAGCGTATAAATGATCTATTTCACATAGTTTAGGGGAAATTTTGACCCTTTTCCGTATGTTTATTCTTTCATATTTGAACTTCATAGTAAAAATCTTAGTTCCACCACTGGTATTACGAATAATGTTAGCGTGGCGGAGCCATCGGGTTTCGGCCCGAATTTTTAGTATTGTGAACAAGTTATTCCGTGATTAGAATTCCATTAAATTCAAATTCTGCTCCCGCCTGGTCTGTTGTTCACTTTCTGTTTTCCAAGAAAAAATTGGAGTTGCAGATTGCGTAAGGTGTTTGATAAATTGCCCGAGAGAGAAACTCAAACCATAACTGAGCTTGATTTTGACAACTTTTTCATATGCATGTACGTGCAATTTCAGGCATGGAAGAAAATGTTGATCGGAAGTGCGTGCGTTTCTGCTTTTTCGATCATTCAGTTTCATCTATCGATCGAGAAAACTGTGGTAGTAAGCTTCCTGAATTGTATTTCTAGGTTAATAGTAATGTTTTTCATTAATTGTGAATCCTCATATTGTGTTTGCGTTAGCAACCTAATACTATAAAGTAACCGTTGATTATGATTTTTTCGTCAGGCTTCTCATACTGCTGTTTTAAGTGGGAATTCAGTAGAGGCAAAGCTATGATTGCAACTTAATGGGTTCTGAATTTAATATTTGTGTATATTTGAGGCTGAATCCGCATGTGGACTATTAGTTCTGCTTCTGGTGGGAAGGACCTTTTCTATGTGGTGTTGATATGGTCACTGATTAGCTTTTGCATTGCTAAAACAAGGTATGGAGTGTTTAGCTTTTGTATTGCTAGTCGATCGACTGATATATTAGATATACTGTAACTGATACTGCATCTGTAGTAGTTATTTTTATTAGTTGGAACTTGGAAGAACTTCTCATTCTTTAGTTGTATATATTGTTTCATGAGCATATTGTTATATGAAATGCATCAACTGACCTACTCGAGAAGATTATTAGATATTACGAATGGAGCGTCTTAACTGTTAAGATACGGTTATTTGGATGAAAATGCTAATTAGCTCATAACTATGTTTTTAGAGGAATTGAGATGATGATAGCATATAAAGAATCAGTTTCCAAATGAAAGGTGTAAGTGTTTCCATAATAGAATTCTAGATTGAATGTTATGACTTCATGAGCTTTTTGTTAAAGAATTGGATTTCTATTAGTTCAAAATGAGTTGGATTGCCAAAGATTAGCTCGTTAGTCATGCTATGTTTGAACTCTTCTTATCTTCTCTTATTTTGATAAAATTCATATGACTGCCTTTGACTGAATCCTTCTTGTTGTATTGTTTGTGGGATGTAAAGCAAAAGAACATGTTCATACCATCAGATGTTGAAAGGGTGTTATGAACTTGCCTGGGTAATTTATAACTTTGGATGTCATTTGGATCTCAATATTCTTTATTTGTAAACCAGATCCGAATATTAAAAAGTCTGCTTCTCAGTTACATACTTCAAGTCAGCCTTACTACTGCTAAGGCCTAATGTATAGAATAACTGTATTAAATGTACTACCAAGGACTCTTGAGGAATTATTGATTCAAAACATTCTATCGCTACACCCATTTTCAAGTATCTCAAATAGCACACTAGCTGTAAGATGAAGAGGTGTCTAATACGGCCACTCATCCGCTGAGCTGGGCGAAAGAATCAAGTGAAGAGTCTTTACTCTAAAGAAAAAGCCTTTTCCTATTCTAGAAATCCTGCAAACTATTAATTGAAGTGCTTACCAGTCACCGCTACAATTGGCAGAAAGTAATTGGCACTGCATCTATATCAATGAATATTTAGCTTTTCTTTAGTCCTCTTTTTTAGCACTGGCTTACTCACAGGAAGCTGGCTTAGCAGAAAGGTGGACTTTGTGTGTAACCTTAACAGAGAAAAAGAAAATGAACTTTGTCATATGCTTTAATTCAAGATTGTGTTCTTAAATACTTGTGCATTATGTACACTTCACATGTACAAGTGTCTTGGTTTAGATACTCCTTATTATCGTATATAAATCTACTTGCACCTTCTGTTTTATACTGTATAGTGTATACTCTATAACCAGGAAGGACTTTTGTTGGATTTGCATTTGATAATGTGTTATCATCTTTCTTTTCAAGAAAAAAAAAGAAGAAAAAATTATGTCTTACATTGATGCAGAAGAACCTGAGTGTTATGACCTGTACTTGAATACAAATGGTGAGATTTCCTTCTGCTTTTATCTGCCTCTATTTTCCACCAGATGATTTTCGAATGTGCAGCTCCACCAAGCAAATTGGACAGGAAATGGATGAAGAGTTGCAAGAAGTGAAGAAATCACTCATTTTTCCAAGGTTAGTTATTTGATTGATTTAGGACAAATTATTTGACTTTAACACAATTTTAGTTGTGAAGACTACAAATATTCCCAATTTTTAGGGGAACAAAATTATAGAGGAATGTTGTACTGAAGAATCCAATTTCAGTTTAAATTATCTATGTGAATGACATTAAGGTATATACTTTGAGCTTGAATGGTTATGGCATCATGTCAATGACATAAAATTTAACACTTCATTTCTGAAAGAAAAATGGCAAAAGAAACCTTTCCAAACAATAGTAAGTAACAACAACAACGTACCCAGTGTGGTCCCACAAGTGGGATTTGGGGAGGTTAAAGTGTACGCGGACCTTACCTCTACCTTGTCAGTTAGAGAGGAGGTTGTTTCTGAAAGACCCTCAACTCAAAGAAAGCAAAGACACAACATATGAAGACATAAGCAACAACTAGAAGTAAGAAAACACGAGCATACGAGACAACAAGTAGTAATAGAAAAATAATAAAATATCAAAAATAATTCTAATACCACTAGCTAGAGAAACCAGGTGCAAAACTATCTACTACTAGCCTTCTACCCCAGTCCTCGACCTCCACGCCTTCCTATCAAGGGTCATGTCCTAGGTAAGCTTAAGGCTTGTCATATCCTTTCGGATTACCTCTCCCCAATACTTCTTCGGCCTACCCCTACCTCTCCTCAGTCCCTCTATCGTCAACCTCTCACACCTCCTCACTGGGACGTCCATGCATCTCCTCTTGACATGCCCAAACCATCTCATTCTAGACTTCCGCATCTTGTCCATGGCCACTTCCACCTTGGCATGAATATCTTCATTTCTGATTATATCTCTCCTAGTAAGCCCACACATCCATTTTAGCATCCTCATTTTTGCAACTTTTATCTTTTGAACATGAGAGTTCTTAACTAGCTAACACTCTGCCCCATACGACAAAGTTTGTCTAATTATTGCTCTATAGAACTTACCATTAAATCTTAGTGACACCTTTTTATCACATAAGACACCAGTGGCTAGACTCTATTTTAACAACCCCGCACCAGTGCGATGTGTAACATCCTTGTCAATCTCTCAGTTTCCTCGAATAATAGCTCCCCAGGTACTCGAAACTCCCTTTCTTGGAGATGACTTGAGAATCCAACCTTACTTCCATATCTGCTACACGAGGCACATAACTGAACTTGCACTTCACGTACTCTGTCTTAGTCCTGCTCAATCTGAAACCTTTCGACTCTAGGATCTATCTCCACACCTCAAGTTTGTCGTTAACTTCGATATGCATCTCCTCAATCAGTACAATGTCATCAACAAATTACATGCATCAAGGACCTCCCTTGAATGTGTCGCGTCCGAAAATCCATAGCCAAAGCTAATAAAAACAGGCTAAGAGTCGACCCCTGATGCAACCCCATTATCGTTGGAAAGTGACCCGTGTCTCCTCTCCCTCTCCTCACCCGGGTCTTAGCTCCATTATACATGTCCTTAATAGTCCTAATGTACATGATTGGAACACTTTTGCTCTCCAAACATCTCCATAGAACTTCTCTCGGAACTGTCGTATGATTTTTCAAGGTCAATAAACACCATATGCAAGTCTCTATTACTTTCCGTATACTGCTCCACCAATCTTCTTCTGTAATCGCCCCGTCATGAAACCAAATTGGTTCTCGTTAATTGAAACCCTCCTCCTTACCCTCATCTCCACGGCTCCACCAGCCTCTCCCAATCTTTCATAGCATGGCAATATCATAGTGTCATTCATAATTTGTAGACGATTGCACAAGTCTGACCAACAATCCAAATTTTCCAATCCCTCTTAAATATGTCCTAAGAAATGAGTTGGAAACTCATAATGCTGATTTTAAAAATAGTAGTAAATAAATGTCACAATTAATTACCAATTGTAATAGCAAAAAGGTAGCCCACGCATGAAGCATCCCTTCCAAGGATCATGCATCATCTAGGAAGCATCCAATTGTAATATAAATGTCGGAAGATTTCCTACTTTGAAATTACTGACACTTACTTGTCAAATAGATGTTAGCAAGTACTTATTTCGTAAATATAATTTCTTGTAGTGCAAACTTTCTTTTCTTGTGGAAAATTATGTAGGTGGCTAATGTCAAACGTTTTGTTTGCATCAAACAGAACTGCTTTATACGTTAATATTAAGACCCTTGCCTGCCCCTAACTATTGCATGTCTTGTTGCTGTCTCTTTTTTTGGCAAATATTTATGCCAAATGTACTAGGAGTATGTTAACTGCAATTAGTAATTTTCTGAAGCAAAATTTGTGTATGAAGCATATATAGGGAAAGAACTAATTATATAGTTCTGTTGTGTCATGGACTTCATACCATGTTGACATTTGTAGTAACTGGGAATATGAATGGTGGGATATGCTAGTTTGGTTCCAAATCTCTATAATCTACTAGCTAACGATTATGCCTTGAACAGCCTTAGTAACCTGGGTAGAAATACTGATCTGTCATTTATGTGATTTGCTACTCCGTGAAAGAGACAATGAAGACAGAATATTAGGTCTAGTTCAGACATTAAAAAACTGTTGAGACTAGAATTGCTTTCATGAATTTGATGGCTTAGTTAGAAGTATAGATGCACACACTACTGTTAGAGCAATGATAGTGAAAAAGGCAAAAGTCTCTCGTTTAAGATATAAAATACTAGAAGGATTCTGCATCACAAACAACAACATACCCAGTGAAATTCCACAAAGTGGGGTCTGGGGAGGGTAGAGTGTACGCATACCTTGCCCCTACCTCATGGAGGTAGAAAGACTGTTTTCGAGAGACACTCAACTCAAGTAAAACAAATCAAAGTAGTAATGAAAAGGAAAAAACGATAGTGAAGAAAACATGTCAGCTAATAGAAAAGCAGTGTAGAGCATACATGCAAGGAATAGTAAAATCAGCAAAATAGTGCGATCACTTAAATATCATAAACAGATGATAACAAATAACAAAAGAAAGAAACTGTATGAACTGTATTAGTGTCCCCCAGCATGGCCTTAAGTGTCCCTAATCCACCCTCTCAAAGCTTGCTTAACATTCTTCATTGAACCTCATGACTTTATTAGTGTCCCCCAGTGTGGCCTTATGTGGCCTTAATCCTCCCTATCGAGGCTTGCTTAACATTCTTCAATTTGTGATGAAAGATGATGAAGAAATCCCTGGTACATATGTCCTCCAATGCTTCCTCACTAAGTCAGGGAAAGTCTCATGCTTAGCCCAAAAATTCAAGAATTTAAAGGATCTTCTAAGTGGAGTATCATCCAAGCTACAAGATATTAGTTAAGGAGCATGATGTGGCTCCTTCTTGATCAAGTGTGTGACCTCCAAAATAGGTCCTTTAAATTCTTGAAAATGCATTCATCATTAAATCTTTTGAGTTTTGCACCTATTCTTTGTCTTCCCCGCTCCATGTCCAACAACTTCAGCTCCTTTAGGATTAGAATCCTTAGCTTCTGCCCGCAATTGAATTCCAGTAGGATTAGGATTAACCTTCCCCTTTCCAATTGAGGCATCAATTACCTCCACCAATGCTGTCAGTTTGCATCACTATCTTGGCTTTCCACTTCATCAACAAGTGCTGCAAATTGTTTCCCAGTTTGTGTAGGAACCATAATTCCTTTAGTAGGATGGGATTCGAACGCCCCATACATCTTGGACATCTGGAGCATGGACAATATAAGGCTGGGTCCCATCATCGGAAACAATGAATTGGGATTGCCCCAAAAGCTACCTCCTGAGGGGAGAACTGCCCAAGACCATATAACGAGACCAAGGTGCTTATTATCCCATTGATGTGGGACTCCAACAAGCCTTATTGTCATCCTTCGATGAATTTTGTTCTTGAGATCTATGGGCATTAAATTTCTTACTTCTAGCTTCTTGCCATCTCCATTTATCACTCACGTTCCTTACAACTTATCCACTCTTTAACACCTTGGGAGGAGCCTTCCCTTTGTCATTTGGTTCCACACTTTTCCCATTGTTCTCAACACTACTGTTGCCTTCATTATTTCCTTGCGTCTCCTCAATTAATTCAGGATGTAAGACTCGACAACCATATTATGCCCTTGTAATTTGCGTTCTTTACAATGCTTAGGCATATAATTATGCTTAACGTTATCTATTTCGTTCTTACCTCTCTAGTAGCGCCTCACCAAACCAATTTGAATTTGCACACTTTGGGAATTCACCAAGTAAATTCACTTCAACTTTTACCCTCGCATAACTTGGCCTTGTTTTGTTCTTTGTTGCCATTTCAACATGTAATGACTTCCCAACTGATGGAGCAAGTTAGCTAGGATTCCTTTACAAAAAAATTTAGGAGGCAAAAAAGTAAAAAGGAAATCCATGCAATAGCAATGGAAGTTTCTTCTTCCGAATCAAACCAAGGATCCCACTTATGAGGACACATTTGACAGAAACCATCCTTGGCTTTGAGATAGTAAGCACGCTTCGACAACACGTGGACATAATTTTAAAGCAACGTCAATCGAATAAGAACATGTCTATTGCAATTTGCACAAAAATCTTACAATTCACCTCACATTGCGTAGGAATGATCTTGCACAATTCTTGTATTTCCATCCATCCATAAGAGAATTTACCAAACAATAGCATATAATAAATTCTCTGGACTATACCTTCTCCAAAAATAATTACTATCACACGATCAACTTTATCCACAGACCAACGAGCCGTGGGTTCGCCGTGATGGTATACAATAGGTTTAAGGGGTATAGGTTGCATGGTGGGGGTTTTCCTGGGTGTTTTTAGGAGGGTAGCATAAGAGGGGTTCACGGGAGGTTAGGGGGGGTGAGTAACCTTATGTGGAGGCTTCCGCTGGCCATATTGTCTATGAAAAGCTCACAGAGAAAGTCGCCTCCAAATCATCTTGTTCGAGAGCTCTCAAGCACGGTCTGGGTGTAGAGTTTTTTTTTCAATTAATCCTAACAGACTTTCACTCCCGTGCAAGCTGACTCAGTTTGAAAAATAGAAGAACACAGTTACAATGAGTTCATTCTCCTATTTCATCTACTAAGACTGTTAGAAGTGACTTGTATAGAGGACTACAGCTGCTATATACTCTTTTAGTTCATCTGTAACAACTTTAAGTAGGGAGTGAGGCAGGACTTAAAGTTCAAAGCTGGGTTAACCTAGAGGACAGGCAACTGAATTTACATGAATTTTTTGTTGCTTCTCATTCTATGATTCATTTGTCTTCAGGTATGAACAATCGGGTAGCTTTTTGGTCAGTGAGTGCCTTAAGTCTTAAATATTAAAGTTATAGTGTGCTATTAAAAAACCTGCAAGAATTAAATGTATCCTGGATATAATACAACCCCGTGAGAGTTTACTAGAGACGCATGTAACCATATTCTGAATATCTATTTCTTCCAATCTGCCTTATAGCACATACTTGCTAATACAATATTATTATAAATTAGTTGGACTTCTTTTGTAGTCTCTTCAATGAGTAGTTAACTCCGATCGAATCTTTTCTAGTTTGAGTTCTGAACCTCTGACATCTCTTCTAGCCTAGCTGTGGATGCAAGAGGTGGAATGGAGACAGTAGACACTACGACCAGCATTACAGCGTGTTTACATGACAAGAGCGTCAACATATAAAGATGCACTTAAAGGTTTCATAGTGGGATATCAGGAAGGTATTCACATGGAGAAAAAACGAGGACGCTAAATTGCATAAGGACACTTATGCAGCCAAAGAACAATCTTGGCCTCCGAAGTAAAAGTTGTGAGTTCTCTTAACTACTCTATACGAACTTGACCTTTGGACTTCTGCATAATTACTGATGCTGTTGTGGTTTGCTTTCAGTATGTAGTGGGGAAATGGGGGAAGGAGATTACATCGCAAATGGTCAATGTTCAACTCATTGAGGCTCTTGTTTGTAAAAGTGATTTGGCTTGACATCAATTGAACCTCAACGTGTAAGGTCAGGATCAAATACATAAGCCTATCTAATGTGCGCCCTCACCAAATGCATGTGGGAAGGGAGTTGTCAATTGAGCTTTTTAGTTGCTTTTTGGAGTAATTGGTGGCTTGAAGTTAAATCTGTAGTTTGATTTCAAGTTTGGATGGAGGAGGCAGGACTAGACTGAAACAGGTCAGGTGAGCCAGGATTGGATGTAAGATAGTTGAAAATGACTTCCACCCAAATATTGCCTTCTATTTGGTACTTTATTCCCCATAGTATGTGCTGCAGATTCTAAAGCAAAAGCATATAATGATTTAGCCCTTGAATCTATCATCGAGGTGTCTTGCTCGGTGTCTAGAGCCTCCTCTGATAAAGTTCGTACATCTTTTGCCATCTTTATTTGACGTGCCATCAGCTTTCCATTAGGATAGTTTCAGCACTTGTAGTTCCGGACCCATATGTGACTGTGGGTGTTCTTATTAGGTATATGTTGGCGGGGTCATGGAATTTGTCTCTTGATTGAAATCTGTCAAGCACATGGGTTTTCATTTGAGCACATTGTAATAAGAATCTTCTACCATGTCCGATAAATTATAGTTCTATCATCATCGTGGATCCTACATAAAGACTGAATCAGGAATTATTCTATGTTTCTTTAGTGCATGTACTGTGATTTTGGCCTTATTCTCGACTGCTAGCTTCAATTATTATATGTGTGAAATAGCTACCAACCGGTTTGATTCGATTATCCTATCAAGAGTTGTCTAGGTACATTCTCTTGGTATTCATCTGATTGAAACAACGCAATTTGATCCATTTGCATGTAGAAAATGTAAAGAACATACTACAAAATGTAGAGCTTGAGGAAAACTAATGGAAGAAAATGGTCCATTCTGTTATTAGATGTTTTGTTACTGTGATGATTGACTATTGTTGCAAGAGGAGTCCATTCAATCTTGTGATAAGCCACCACCTCTATTTTGTATGTGTATCTAGTGACACTCTCCCACTTGCAGGAGCACTAAAATCTTGCTGTGAGTCCTTAGTAGAAGTCAATGGGGCATCCTTTTTTTTCTTGATTCTTAATGGTCCACTGTTGACACAAAAAAGTACTAGTACTAATACTCATCTAACTTTTCTTCTTTTGGTTGATTTATTCAACTAGGCATAGTGTTATATTCTTACCAATTCATTTGCAACTTGTGTTTTGGACATGTGGCCAGAATGAAAAGCCTGCAGCCTGTGCTATATGGAAAGTGATTGACATGCTTCCAAAGCCGTATTCATGTTTCATTTGCGGTGCCTTTGTCCTCATATTCTTCCAAAGTAAGTGCTTATTACTCCGCAAGAATTTCATAGAAAAATATGGACACATATCTCACGATTCAGCTACAGTATACACGTTTACCTAAAACGTAAATGTTCCTGTATTTTGGAGTAATTGCTTGCTGGATAATGCATGAATGAACTCGTATATCTTGATAAAACACTAAAAAAATGTGAAATATAGGACAGTTTCTATTGTCAAAATAGAAAATGACAACATTGGAATTATCAGCAGATAATTACTGGCCACCTTGCTACATCTTTTCTTTGAGTATACATTGAGGGATACAAAAAAAAATTGGTTCAACTCTAAAGCTGATTGTGAGAATTCTCCAAGACAATTTAAAAATATTAACTGCTTCCTTAGAAAGATGTAGTTGAAGATTTAGCGAATAAGAAAATGCTTAGAAACAACAAAGTTATGGTGCCAGTGTTATGACAAGTAGAGACTTCTAAGAATATTCAAATTCAAACTACAATTATACTCTTAAATAGCGCTCCATATCAGTTGGTTTGGTTTTGAAGACTATCGATTTAGAACTATTAAGATATCGATTATCTGGTTATTTGACTGATGTTGGTGACAAATGAAACTCACAATTCACACAGGTAAGATTGATGAGTCTTTTCATCAGATTTTCATATGAATCATGAAAACACAAAAAGTACAATGTACATATACATACTACTACTACTACTGTTGAACAAAAAGTATTATGCCATTGCATCAACATGTGAAAGAAAAGCAGTTAAAACTGTTAGTTGCCTTTCAAGAGTTGGCAAAGAAGATATTTTTTGTCCTCCTAAATGACTAATGGGTTGTGACAGACCTCCATCTTATCACCAATAACAAGACAAGTCCACCACCCACTACCATTACCATCACCACTTTGGTAAAAGAACCATCTTTCTTCTTCGTCTTACTATTACTATCCTTCAGTTTTGGTCAATTGTCATGATTAGGATGAAAGCCCCTCACAAAAATCTTCAGGCAGAATCTCCACAGTAACATATCCAGCGAAATCGCACAAGTGGGGTTCGTAAAGGATAGAATGTACATTGACCATATATATATTCCTCCATCTGCTCAGGCTATAATCTGATGGGCCCACAGACACCCTAAAGTCTCTTTCAAAGCTTCACCTCCAATATTTTCATTCTATCAATTCCCTCTGGACTTGGAATAGGTGTTAAAAGTTTTATGATATATACTACCTTTTTCTAGGGGGAGAAAGTTGCCAGAAAATCTGGGATTTTTACCCTTTTGGGATTTTCTTTTCCTATTTTTTCAAGAATATTTTTTAAAGAAAAAAATAAAAATAAATTCCAAGTGCCTGTAATAGACAATCCTGGTAGTCAAATCTACAGATCTTATCCCTGGTGATATCTCATCTGGTTGACATCTCTTGAGAAACTCATATCCTGTTACAACCATACAGTATAATTATTAGCAATCCCATCATTTATTTCATAGAGGTTTGAGCATTCAAAAACTATAGAAATAAAATAAAAAGAATTAGTAACAAAATAATATATACCAGCAGTGGACCATTTGGTTATTTGGTGGCTTAGTTACTAGTAATAAATTGCAAAGCCTCAATTTGAAGAATCAAGAATTAAGTACATGTTTAAAAGGGTTGAAAGCATCATTAAAAGGAGATTATATATTATAAATAAATTAAGCTTTTCTGTCTTTAACAGAAGCAAGACAGTGTTTCATGTTGATTCTAAACATACCACAACAAAAGAGACATTTCGTAATAATAAAAAATACTGCCATGGCATCCAAAGTCGTGAATTCTTTAGCAGTATATGTATAGAGTGTTGGCCATAAATACCTATATTTATTATTACCCTTAAATAAATATAATGACACTTATATTATTTCTGTGAAATCATTTATTTGTTGCAGTGAGAATGTCACTACTCTCCACTGATTTTTGGACCTCTAGTCAGAGCCCCTTTATTAGAAAATAGATAAAGGAGAATTTGACTTTAATAATGAATTGTCACTTTCTAAACTAAAAAAATAATGGAGATTATATTGAACTAGCCTAAGCATTATCTTTTGGAAACTTACTAGATGTAGTTTTATTTGTATAAACCTAATTTTGAATGTTAGGGTCCCAAAGTCTTCAAACCTAAAAAAGATATGGGGTGGGAAAGGAATAGTATTGAGATTCAATCAATCACAAAAAAAGTAATGTGTATTGTCACTATCCAAGCTTAAAATGGTCCATTGCAAAGTAGCTTAAGTCTTTGATGTGTTTGGTGTTATTTCAAGATATTCTTGAATGGCAAAGAGTTTGGTTTGGTGGTAAAGTAGTACTTGATTCTTGGTGGTGACTACCAAAGTTGACTATATAACATGTAGTATAGTTTATTATTATTATTATTATTAGACACAAAGGTTTTTCCACTGCGAATTAGTAAAAAAAATTGTGTTATAATGTATTTATCATGATTTTTTAAGTCATTTTTCACTAAACAAATTCACTGAAAAAATATATGATGGAACAAATTCTCACTAAAACAGTGAAATAATTTTTTCATTTGAAAATATTACTATTTTTTTTTGTTTTTTATTGTTTCAATCAAAATATCTAATGGAAAAGTTTTTGACCATTTTTTAGTGGAAAAATCAGTAGTAAATTAGTGTTTTTTTTTGGTAGTGATTCATCTTGACCCTCTAGTCTATTTCAACTACTAATAAAATAAAATAAATATCATTAGGTACATTGTAGTTTGCTGCCTTTCAAGTTTTTTTAAATTACAGCTATAGAAGTTTGGACCACATTACCCCTCCCCCCCTCCCCCAAATAAAATAAAAAAGAAGAAGAAAAAACCAAGTAGGTCACATGAAGTGGTTGACATGATAACATACTACTATATTATTAAAAGGCATGCCAGGCTTAGCCCCCAGGGTATTTTCATTTCACACGACTCAACAGGTGTAACAAAAGGAGAAAAAGAATTAAAAAAATCAAAAACTTTTGTTTGGAAACTAGAAAAAGGAAGGTAAATGTAAAGAAAGAAAAAACAAAAATTTACTCCAAAAAGTTTTATCATCATTTTTTTTTTAAAAAGGATAAAAAATATTTGATTTCTTCCAAAAAAGAACATTACTTGTTCAACTAGACTACTTACTATAAACATAAGATTTTTTTAATTTATTTTTTTGACCGACTTTTACCATGACTTTTATCTTGCTTTAACTAATCCACTTGTTAGGCACATACTAGTTTTAGAATTAAATATTACTACTGTATAGTATACTTATATCATAACTAGCTTACGGTAACTGTAGAGATTTTTGTATATGTTTGTCTCAGTAAATGAAACAGGAAAATCATAGTTGAAAAGTGAGACTAGTCACATCTTTAACAATTTTCTAAACTAAAAAGAGAAAAAGAAAACTTTACATTGATAAAATAATTTAAGAGTCATGTATGTACCTTGTGATTGTGATGGTTATTATTATAGGAAGAAGCAGCAGCTGAAACAGTAACATGAGGCTTTGAATACTGAAATTGGTATTGATAATAGTGTTGGCTAGCTTGATCCTGACTCCGACCATGATCCTGGTTGTGGCTCGATGTAGAAGAGCCACCACCATCTGGAGTCGGGGGTGGCTCCGACCACGATGAATCATCGGCCTCACATTCCAAGTTAACCCCAAACAACCTCACGTGTCTTCTTGTGTTATTGTTCACACTTGTTGTTTGGTTCGGCATTGCTCCTCCCCCTATATTTATGTCACAAACAAATGGGAAAAGGTAAGTGATTGAATGGTTTTGATATCGTGATCCATTGAGATTCAGCTCTTTGTAGCTCCGCCTAAACATATGGCATTTGCAAGAATCTCTAAATAAGATATACAAAACATAAAACAACAGTACTTTTTTTTTTGTTTATATATGCAGATAGGTAGCCACTTGCTATATTATAATACAATAGTTAAATAATATCATCATCTTTGTTAGAAACCTACAAAACAAACTTTCTGCAATGTGACAAAATATACAACTCTTTGCAACATGTATGGCCACCAAGATAGGTATAATTGAACATTTCTTTTCACATTAAAAATAAATTATTATTTTTTTGCATTCTTTTTTTTTTTTGGGGGGGGGGCTACTATGCATATGCCATTTATAACAAAAATAATAACATCAATTCTAAAATTAATTATCTCCAATGTATTTGGAAAGTGTACTGATTTTCACAAAACTCCAATTTGTCAGTGTGAAAGACAGTAAAAGAGTAGAAATTAAGTGACTTATATATAGCTCAAAATTACAAATTGTACATGGATAATGTAGTCAAGGATTCCATCGACGAAAAATTATAATATTTATATATGATTAAAATTATTTTTTTAATGGAATGTAATGTACATATGAAGAAAATGATACCTGCATGAAGACAGTCAGGTTGGTATAGAAGACCTGCACCTGCGCTTGGATAAGGATGCCCACCGTAGTATACGTGGGCCCACCCACCTCCACCTCCACCACCACCCATATTTCGAGTCACCGCCGCTGCTGCAGTGTTATGAACTGCAGCAGGAGTGGAGATGGAGGTGGAGGCGGAGACAGTATTTCTCCGCCTCCACCCTATAAATAACCGGTCAGATTCTGACCGGTGTCGGTCAAACAAAACAATATCACCAGCATCAAGACGTTTTTCCTTGACAAAACGGCTCCAACCTTTAGTCAATACATAGCTCTGGCTACTATTCCAATAAGAATATCGAAATCTCCATGATTTTCCTGACTCATCTTCGAAACTCAGTAATAATCCCTTTTCAGTACCGCCATCGTTATTATTAGTATTATTATTATTATTACCGCTGAGAGGAAAATACTTCTCAGCGTGCTGTTTAGGGATTACTAACCTGTTAAGCTTTCCAACATCACTTGGAGTTAATGGTTTCTCAAACAAATGATCTCTTGGAATTTCTTCCAATTTGTCTTCACTTTGTCCTAGCTCATCATCATGTTCATTATGAGTATTGTTGCTCATGTTGTTGTTAAGGTTAAACTCAAACATATTTGGGATTGAAGATTGTTGTTTTTTGGTCCACCAAAATGTTATGAAGAAATATGGTTTATGGACATTTCTAAGAACAAAAAAGGGAGATATATAAAAGTAGATTTTTATTTTATTTTATTTTATTTGCAAAAACGATGTAGGAAAAGGTGGGTATTTAAGGGGGGTTGGGGTAGATAGAGATGTAAGTACGAGAGTACTTTACTTTAAGGTATTTTGCGTGATAAGAAGAAGAAAAATCAATCATTATATTCAGTGCAATTTACTAGGCAGCTACCCAGTACTCATACATCACATACCTTGTCTCTTTATGAAGTTTAGTAAGTACTTAAACTTAGCATTATGTATTTGATTAAATTTGTGCTATTAATATTCATTTCTTATTAGTGAATAGTGACCATCTTCAAAATACACATACGTATTCTTTTCCTTTATTTTTTGTTGGGTCCAGTTTCAACTTCGCACTTTTTTTAAAAAAAATATAATATTATTTTTATTCTATGTGAAGTAATTTAATTTGATACGAAATGTAAAATATATATTTTAAAAAAATTGTGATCTAAAATAAATTATAAAGTTTGTGTGGTTATAAATCAATAAGGGCAAAATGAATATTTTAAAGTTAAATTGTTACTAAATATAAAAATATGTCATTCTTTTTTAAATTCACTAAAAATGAAAGTGAGTCATATATATTTTAATAGAGGGGGTAAATTTAAATGAGTATTTTATAATTAGTTTTCAGATTGTTTTAAAATTGCTCTTTTTATAATTATTTTGATATGAATAACTTGAGTCAATGGTCTTTTGAAAATGACATTTTTATATTCATAAGGTAGTGTAATGTTTATGTACATTCTACTATTTTTATATTATAAAATTATTCTGAATATTATTGTTATAGGTGTCTAAAACTAGATTTAAGTAACCAGCTCAAAATGTTGCTGGTTTATAAACTCTCTTTTTTGTAGAAATTACTTTTTCATGTGGATCCCATTGAAATGATTCAAATATTTTTTTCCTATGTAATTATGTACTAGCATATGTAAGACTCACGGGATTATTGACCTTTTTTTTTTAATCTTGTGGGAGAAAAATGGTATACAGTGTAGTATAATATAATGAGTGAAGGAAGCAAAATATATAAAAGATAAATTGATATTTGGTGGCACTGAAATTGGCAGAAGATGTATCTTCATATGAATCTGGGGGATAAGAAAAGGATTCTTTTTCTTATAGATATCATCATTTATTGCCATAGCCGACGAAGTTAGAATTTTAAATTTTACAATAATGATTTCAAATTTTACTATATTTGTACGTATTTAGTAAATTTTTTAATAAAATTATACCTTTAAGAAAAAATTATCGAATTCGATCAAGTTTATATTTGAATTCTAGCTCCGCCCCTGAATAGATGAATATAATTCTATGAAATACAGGCCATGTTACTATGTTTGCTGGCTGGCTAAGGCCTTTGTGCTTAAACCAAACAAACAGATCATGAAGTGAGTAAGGCCCACCCAGCTGACACTGTACCACTTCTCCACTATAGATATAGACTCTAGGGGTGGGTTGGGTGGGTGGACAAACATGCTAAGTTTTTATAATTTTATCTAAATATTATTTTGTCTATTTTATATGACTCGATTTTTTCTATGTTTATTTTTATTTATATAATTCATTTCTATATTTAGTAATAATATGTTAACATGAAAATGTCTGCTTTACTCTTGATGAAATAATTTATAAGCACACAAGTATCTATGTCTTATTTTATATTATAATTTTTTTTATTTAAAAAACTTTAAATTTTGTATCAAGTAAAACGCTATCACATAAATTGAGATAGGATAAGTATATTTTGAAATAAATTCAATTGTCATTGAAATTGTGATTTGCATATGATGTGAATATAAATATCCGGTGGACTAAATTATTATTATTATTATTATTATAATGCATTAAAAAAATTATTATGTAAGTTAAAATGCATTAAAAAATTAGACTCCAAAATTTTGTTTTAAATTTTAAAAATATAAATTATGACCCACCACCTTAATTTGAGCCTGACGCTTGTACGGTTAGGTTTTTGCACCTGATGCATCGCATAGTAAGTATCTTCGTAATAATAATAACCTAGGACCACCTAAAAATAATTGTCATACCAACAAATAACAATTTGTGAAACCATTTAATATCCACTGCTATAAAATGTTGTAGCTAGTTTTTAAAAATAGTACTCTATTTTTTAGCGTTGTATTCAGGTCTGTTTTTGTATATTTTGATTATTTTTTTAAAATATCTGCCATTTTTTACTAGTAATGGATATCAGATAAATTTATTGAGTAAGGTTAGGACAGAATAAATCATTGTGTATGTTTGATTAGTTTGGTTCCATTTAATCGTTAATTATGTGATTTGAGTAGGTTATTATATATATATACACACTCACTCTTATATTCTTGTTTTTCTTTTGGAGTAAATGCAAAATTGAAAAATAAGCGTGCTAATATTTGGTCCCCGTTGTTTATTTCAACACGCTAATCGCCCACACGTTTTCCTTTTTTTTTTTTTGGGGGGGGGGGGGGGGGGGGGGGG